TCTCTCTCTCTCTCTCTCTCTCTCTCTCTCTCTCCAACCTCTCATTCTCACGACTAATCTCTGGATTTGAGAAAACAATATATAATATATTATTTTTTACGTGTAAAATGTGTTGAATATTTTGGTGAAAACGAAAGTTAAAGAATCGGATAATTAATTAGCGATAACAATAATAAGTGAGTTATTATTATTGTTTATATAAATACAGCGAATTAGATGTATTTAATATTCAATAACAAAAGTAGATTTTTAGAGCAAATGTTTGCAAACTATTGAATGAAATGAAGTCAAAGCTAAGAGCACAGGGTTTCTTATATTCTGTAACAGACGTCCCCTTAAACTTATATGTATTATATAATACTGACCCTAAACTCGCAAATCACGGCCAGTAATGGTCTTTTATTTCTATACTATAACTTAGTGTCAGTTCATTGTTTTAATAGCCGTAACAATTGGCATTTAATTTATATTTTATTGTATTACCATTTTGTCAGTTTAAATCCAACATTAAATTTAAAACGACGTGTTTTTAATTGATATATTATTTTACTTAAGGATTTAGTTTTTGAGTTGTAAATTGATATTAAATCCTTATTTATTAGCGTACATTAAGTACAATATATTGCATTTTAATTAATATTTATTTCACTTTTCAACAATTGTAATAATTTTTGATGTTTGAAGTATTTCCTTTAAAAATAATTTTATTATTATTAATTACTTGTAATTAAAACTAATAAAGTATCAAAACCAAAATTTTTTATTAAATTAAAAAATGTATAAAAAGAGTTTAAATAACATTTAATGAGAAATGCTGGACAACAATAACAAAAAAGAAATGGAAATATATTTAAAAATTAAAAAATTGTCGAAAAATTAAAGCAAGACATTAAGTGCTGACATCAGGAAAACTATTAACACAAATAATTTAAAAACTTAAGAAAAACAAAACTTTTTAATTAAGGGTTTTTGTGCGGAACTGCCGGTCCTTTATATAAAGACCTATAGACAGGTATGCCTCTAACAGATTGGGCTGAGCCCTGAGGTAAGTAGTCTTTAATACTGGCGTACTTCTTGTTGCCACTCTTGCCATAAGCGGCCACTTTCTGGCCATAATCTCTGCCATCATCAGCCCCTCCATCACGTCTCCCGTTAGCCTTATGGACGACAGTCTGCACCTCTTCCACAACCGGTTGCACCTGTTGTACGACTTTACGGAACGGCTGTATTATTTCGCGCACCTCTTGTATGACCGGTTTGTAGACCTCGTGAACCACTCGGTGCGGCTCATCCTCCGACTTCTGGTGCTCTACTTCTTTCGGATGATCTGATTGCGCGAAACAATAAGTAAAAGTTTAGCTATAATTATGTGCTAATAGTAGTGGGAAAGGCTGTTATGTAGACCTGGAATCCTTGTTTGCTCCACTTTGATGCGATTGGCGTGAGTCCTGAAGTGTATGACAATCGGCTGATCGTCTTTCACTTCAATCAAGTGGTCTTTGCCGCCGTAGCCCTGCATTTGGATCGGCTTTATCTCCACATTTCTGTACGCATGTATGGGCGCACTATAGGTCTTCTCGTATGTCGGCTCATAACTGGGCTTTGAATACGTCTGTCCGTAACTCAGTCCATAACTATCACCATAACTCGGTCTCGAGTATTTGGGTTCATATTTTTGCTCATACTTTGGCTCATATTTGGGTTCATATTTCACTTCATATTTGGGTTCATATTTGGGCTCATATTTCGCCTGATATTTAGGATACGAGTCCTCGTAATCGGGTTTCTTATAGGTCTGGTAGTCGTCGGAATCGTAGTCGTCTTGTCGTCTCTGGTGTCCATAATTTGAGGGCACGTCATATGAGAGTGTTTTATAGCCATCATTACTGGACGCAGATTTGTATCCACGAGAATATCCATCACTACTATCACTGCCGTACTTCTTAGGGTTAAGAAGTCCTTTGTAGTCGTGATCGATACGCATCTTATAATAGTCTTCAGCCCCACAATAGGCTACCACTGAGAGCACCACTAAATACTTTTTATCCGTAAAAATCATTTTTATTTTATGTTTCCTTAAAACTTATTCATAATATTTTACTTTATTTTAAGATATTTAGCACTTATTCTCAATATTTTTAATCTTTATTTACATAACTGTTAAGAAATATTAGAAAATATTCTGTAATTCTTGTAAAAATACATTTGAATTATTTATTTGATATCCTCTTTTCGAGAAAATGTGATAAAAATAAGTTTTTAAAAGAAAATATTAATACATTTGATATTGAATTTTAAAATATCTTTAAGTGAAAATGATTTACGAATAGATAAGAAGTTGAAAAAAGTCGATAAAGTAGTGTAAGTTATATGTGTTATAATGTGCAAAAAAGTCATCACATTATTTTGTAAAGAGTTTGCATAACATTAGCAATGAATATAAAATTCAAATTAGAAATAAAGATGAAAACTAGAAAAATAAATAAATAAAATAAAGTAATCCATACCTTTATGTTAAGCATTATTGTGAAAACTTAAGGATAATGTATGAAAAACACGAGAAATATATGCAAAGATGTGGTGAAACAGAAACACACTTTTTGTGAAACGATTTGCAAAGAAATGAGTTATAATTCCTCAGAGTTTTAGTGAAACACGAGTCCGAGTGAGAGACGAGTGGATAATAAATGTAATAAATGTGAACAAACTTTTTGTTTCTCTCAAACACTTATGACTGAAACGATTTTGTTTGGCCACAGACTTATAGTCAGATTTGTGGCATAAATGAATGCTAAATGATTTGAAATCATTTATGCGCTGAACTTAAATATAAAGACTATTAAACGCTCATTTAAAGTCAATCGTGAATTGCAATACATGTGTGAGTAAAACAAGTGAAAGGGAAGGCAGCGTAAAAAACTTGATATTTTAATATAGGTTTTAATAACTCTATGTTTTTATTTTTTTTCCATTTATATTCATTTAGGTTCTCTAATCTCTTTTGAATTTTTTTATTTGTTTTTCTAATTTACTTGATATGAATTTTATTTTTAATTTGTTACATATAATTAAAAAGTGAGATATAGTCGCGATTGTAATTAATTATTACAAAATTATTACAAAATATGTATACATTTATTATTATTTCACCGACAATTGGTTTCGGTATAAAAGTTCATTAGTTGTGTCCACCATTTAGTTAACTCATTAACATTAACTCATTGACAATAAATAAATGTTTCGAGATTAATATTTGCTATTATCTGATTTTATAGATCAATAAAAATGCCTAAATGTATTTTATCTGAAATACAGTACTATCGCCATAAGCGTAATGGTATGGCAACTATGACCGGAAAATGTAGATTTTATACGATTTTATTTTATTATGAGAAAAATAAAAGCAATTTATATATTATCAGCGCTAAAAATGGAGACAAATTAGTGCATTATCAAAAATTCTTAGTTACGACATATTAAGTTATCTCGTTTAAATTATAAATAACATTTTTATATCATAATATGTAAAAATATTTTGTATAGATACTAAATATTTGCATACAATTTTAAGTAATAAATTACAGGATTATTTTGAATATATCACTTTTTAAGCTTATTATTTTTAAATGCCAGTAATATATTTTTAAATAATTATTATACTAATTTATGCTATTTTTGATTATGTATAATATTTAATTACTAATACAAACTCATAAATTAAAGTCTGTAACAAAAGAGTTTGTTCACAATTTTGTAAAACTTGTCAAATGAATAATATTTGAAAAGTACATCAAATGTCCACATTTCAGGTCATTAGTTCTTAAGCTCACATTTGAATAATAAATTAATTTAAATGTGTTTCCATTATGAAAATCAATTAATGTTTGAAATAAATAAATAAAATTTTAAACAATTTTCTAATCGGCAATGAAAATGCAATTTAAAATGTTATTTAAAATAACAAGTCATCAATACTTTTGATGACATATTCAATCAAATAGTAATTGAATTCTTTTAATTCATTCAACGGTAGAAAAATATGCTGTAAAATGGTCTAGTATAATATTTAGTCTTGTTTTTGCATTTCATTTAAAAATCGTTTTAATACAATTTAAAGAAAATAAAAGATATAATAAATTTTATGTAAATTTATTAAATTAAATTATATTTTCCGGTTTAAAATTTGCTTTTTTATCCTAAGGGCTTCACAACTGTTCTGAATTATTTTTATTATTATTTTCACTCTTATGTTTGAATTGTGAATGAGTACAAAAAGTATTACAGTATCTAATTTACAGAACTTGTCTAATAGTCAATTAACAATTATCCTAGCTAACAAGTTTAATTTTACCATAAGTTTGCTATTTCACGTATTTCCAATGTCAGACAATATTTGTATTAATAACTTTATAAATAAATTTATATCCTTTTTTATTAATTGGATTTTTAGTCTACAACTCTCTTATATTATTGCCTAATGTTAAGTATAAGTGATTAAGTAATTTAATTGCATTATAAATTTAAATTAAAAAATACCTAATTGTGTTGAAATATATTTTACTTACTTTTTAAAAGTATATTTTATTATCATATTCAAAAACAATTGAATGTTTAACGACAAATTTCTAAATAGCTCATTAATCATTGATTAATGAAAACAAAAATAAATTCTCGTTGTATTGAATTCAATGTTTTATAAGGAATTATAAATCTTGAAACTGAAAGTGAAAGTCAAAACACTTTTGTGTGCTTTCAAAATGAGAGCAAATTGTAATTCATAAACTAATCGATGAACTTTTTCTTACTCTTTCATTTTTATAAGGTGTTTAAGACATTAATAAAACAAATTAGTTTTTAAATGTTTATACTGCACATTGTATTATACAGTATATAATATGGATATTATATCAAATTTTTAAAAATGGCATTTCTTAGTCATCATAAATTTTTATAAATTATTAAAAGTAAAGTAAACTAGCAGGTTTTAATTTAAATTTTTGTAAATGCTAAAAATTATTAAAATTCTCTGTAAATATTAACATTAATTTTTTAATACAGTATTCAAACACTGTTTATATTGTAATTTTAATGTAAAATAAATTTTATGTTTAATTGATATTTAATTTAAATGTTAATAATAAATCATAAACATGTGTATTTAATGCACTGATAAACCATTATAGCAAATATCGGTTTGTTTTACACTTTATTACACATTAAAAAAGTTAATTTCATTCAGATTTTGAGATAAAATTTTTAATGAATATATAATTTCACATAAAAATACATTTTTGAGTAAAATTTATTTTATTTTTCACTCACATATTTGTAAAGAAATATTAAAACAAAAAAAAATATAACAATAATTGGCGTTGAATTGAATGTTAGGTCAAAAGCATAAACAAAACCTTTTATGTAATCTTTTAATCTCTTGAATTTAAGATTAATTTTATTGATCATAATATTGGAGTCGAAACTAGTATTTAAATTACAGTAATGTTTTCGCAATCAATAGTGTATTAAGACATCAATTACTCTTATGCTTTTGTAATACATTTACACATTGTTTAACAGACATTAATACATATATTTTGTGAACAAACAACAAAATATTTTTAATAATACTTTGTGTGTAGTAAAAGGTGCGGTTATTGAGACACACAAGTAGTCACCAAAAATAAGAAATGTAAAATTTACCTAATACTAGTACTATATTAAAATATTTTTTGCTTGATTTAGAAGTCGATAGACATTAGGAAATTATTTGCCAAATAAAAGTGATTAATATGAAAAAAGTTGTTTTATCATGTAGTGAATCGTTTGGCTTATTTTTCCGCTATTAGTTTATTAACAGAAAAAAATTATTAATTATATTTATAAAACTTTTTTGTGTTGTGTTTTATTTTTTTAATATGATTCGTGAGTATTGCCTTTCAATCAAATATCGATATGTTTTTTGTTGTTAAGAGTTTATAAGTTTAATAGTCAATAGAAAACTCTTCCGCCACTCTATCATTATTTTAGTTTAATTATTCATTATTTAAATGATATTTTACTGATAAGTGTACTGCAGAAGTAAATTGTGAATTGCAAACTTTTAGTTTAATATTGGTTTATAGAAAATCGATTTAAGATTATTTTTAAATATAAATCAAAATTGATAATATGATACTAGCATATTATTTATTTGTTTTTAACATCACCTGATAATGGTGTCCACATAATACGGTAATTGTGTGGATAATTATGGCCTACATTTAAAATCAAAATAAAAAGTTTTGTTTTAAACAAAAAAACAAACTAATGATAAGAGTTGTGAGATATAATTTGAAAATTAATCCTATTATTAACTTTTTTTGCATCATAAGTTATCATAACTATTTATAATTAAAAAATAGTTATAAAAATGTGAAAAATTATGTTTAAAGCAATTTTGTCAGAAATTCTTATCAAACTGTTTTTGGAAAAATGTATTATGACTTACTTATAAAACAATTTATAAAACACACACAAACTGAATACATAATCAAAGTTGTTGTCATTGTCTTTCATACTTTTGAAGCCCTTTTTACACCGTACGGGTCGTCATCATCTTCGGTGACATCAAAAAATGGTGAAGACTTAAAGAAATCCAAGAGTTTAGACGTCGATATCACGGGATGTCCGTACGATTGGGACTCTTCCTGCTTGACAGCCATTTGTTCGGCCGTCGAGAGGATGTGTGGCATAAGTTGAGCCAAATATTGGTCGTCGAAAGTGTCGGTCGGACTCAACGGATAGGCCTCATCCGACTCAAGTATATGGGGACTCATGTATTGCGAGAAAATCATTTTCATTGGCTTCGGTTGTATTGGCTTTCGATATGATTTGATCTTATTTTTGCGCACTTTCTTCGGCGGTGTCTTCTTCTGCGGTCGCAATACATTGTTTTGATCCAAATAGTCGTTGTAATCGTTATGATTGTTGTTATTATTATTGCTATTCATTTGGTATGGATTCTGATTGTTATTATTCTGAGGGTTGGGAGCATTGAGTTCCGTATTGGGCGGCACTTCGAAGCCAAACAAGTCGTCCGGACTCCGCACCGGAAACTTCTTCATGTCATCATTGAGTCTATAGTTTGATATGTCATCTAATCCATAGTCACCAGCAATTGGGCTCACAATTGGTATCAATATAATGAGCTGCAGAGTGAATGGGGAAAAGAAATTCATTACATTTACGGACTCTTTAATGAGTTTCTCTTTTCTGAATTACAAAAGCAATTACACGAACATTACATACATTAGCAATAAATTGAGTTAACATTTTGTCCGTCAAAGCACACAAACCCTCTCCCCGTCTATAAAATACTCGTACGACTCGACACTCTTATGGCACAACTGATGGATGAGTGGATTCTCGGCTCAAATGGGTTTTGTATTCGCGATGTTTTATTTCGTATAAACTTTTCACATAAACTACTGTTTTTTGTAATGAATAGTTGTTTGATGTGTTGTCTGTGAGAGTGATAGCACCGTAA